TAATATGAAAAAAGTATACTAATAGTTGATATTATTACAGGAGAAGAGTTTATTTTTTAAATATAAAAAAATTTAATAAAAATACTTTTGGTTTTTGTATTTAAATATTAAAAGGAGTGGCCAAAGTTCTTTTTGTTGTTTCAAAATACTTAGATCTATAGTCCTTGACCGTCTGAAAAAATAAAAGCAAAAACTTGGTTTAGGTACTTAACCGATACTACCGGTATAATACGTTATTATGCAAAATAATAAAATAAAATACCGTATTTTAATATCTCTATAAATTATTAATACAGTCCTCCATTAAAAGAGAGGGGAAGCGTTTTCTGAAAGTAGGAATTTTCCCGACAAACCAAATTTTTAAAGGCTTTAAATAAAAAATATATTAAAATAAATTAAATTTTTTTTCCACATATTACATAATTATTAGTATAACTTATATGTATTTCAATATATATACAGGTGCCAGCTTAAGGAATCAAAATAGGCTTAATTTATAATAAATTAAAACGCATTGCCATATTGGCGATACGTGCCGATCCGTTTCATTGATTATCATTTATCATATTTGACCAAACATGTTATTGTGTTGATGATTTAGTGAGTGATGTGTTGTATTACTGTGTTCAATGCTATCGTATAGTAGGTTATCGTGTAAGTGAATCGTTACACTAGTAAAACTGCTAATGTAATATTGATTAAAATTGCATATAAGTTTAAAGTTTAAATACTTACACATCGTTAAAAAAAATAAAAATAGTGTATTTTGGTTTGTAAACACAGATCATTTAATCATATTGAGTCTATATATAATATTTTAATTTTGATGTAAAAGGTCAATGTATTGATATTGTATTGTATTCCCAACCTATGATATTTTTATATTGAGAAACTTTAAAAATGAGTTCATGTTTTTTTCTATTAAAAAATAATCGATAGAACAATAATAACAATATTGTAAAGCCTATAAATCTATAAAAGTATAAAATGTATTCATCACTTTTTTAAAATTTGGCATAATAGTTATATTCATAATTTATATTATAAAAAAATTTCATAATGCATCTAATAGTTACTATCTAAATAATATTATAAGTGTAATTATTCATAGAAATATTTTTTATTAATTTCAAATTGTTTTATTTCTAATTATAAATCTGATATAAGTATGTTAATTAATAATCCATACTTACTAATATAAATGTTTCATTAAATGCAAATTTAAATTTAATTTTAATGTTTCATATAATAACAATATAATATGTGATTAATTTATTTATTAAAACATGGATGATGCGCGTATAAGCAAAATTTGTCCGTTGACAAAACTTTTGAAATTAGTTTAAATACATAATTAGCATAGATTATAATTTATAATAATCATATATATTTTAAATTGAAAATTAGGTAACTCGTTTAAATTGGATACTCTATAAGTTATCCTCATAGATTTTTATTTAAAATAAAAAGAAAGAGAATCAAGTGTATCATTTATTCCAAGAATTATTCACGGAATTGAATGATTAACATTTTTTTTTTGTCTTCGATATTTTTGATAATTAATTTGAAAGTCAAAATAAGTTTTTATAATATTAAATATACTATTTAACAGAAACTTGGTATGAATATTTATTTTTTATTGAATAATAAATGTAGTTCTAGGCACTGATTAAATACAGTTATTTTAAAATAGATTTGCGGAGTTCATGTGAATTGCTTGTCGATCCTCAATTATTAAGCCAAGGCATTTTGTTTTGGGATTTATATTAAATAATATAGATAATATTATAACAATTTCAGAATCGTTTATTTTTACCTGAGAGGGATTTATTATTACTACAGGTACTAAGTTGAAGATAATGTGGATAGATTTACTCTCATTTCTTCTAACTTTCCACTTTGCGTACTACTATACATACATTTTGTGTATGTGAGTTTGTATATTTTCTGACGCAATATCTGATGTTAGGAAATGAATATATACGATTAGAGCAATCGTCCGTATAATCAGTTACCTTACTTCCTTAGTATTGGAGGTAAATTGTTGAGCCAAAATAAATTATTGAAAAACAATGAGTAGGAATAGTTGATTGAAAGATATCATTTATATTTTATTGTATGTTATATATATATATATATATATGAATACAATATTGATTTCCAATCTGGTCGCAAAATTCCGTTCATAGAGATTTAAAAAAAGAAGAAAATATATCAAGCTAAGAAGCTGTAGCAAAGGTTAGGTAATAGTCACTAATAGACCTGAAACAATAATAATTTATATATAATTTTTATAGTTTGAAAATGAGAATATATAGTACGACTAATGTGACGGTCTCAGAAATTAAATTTATGTATTTGTTTTTAGTAAATTTGTTTAAAATAGATGTATTAATTGCAAATAACTTTATTTATTTTTTCCAATACTCTAATAGCATCAACAAAGGGTATATAAATATCTATTATTAGTTTATGGTTTTAATGGTTTTAATTCTGAGTTAATTTACATTTTGCTTATTTGGTTTTTACTAATAATTTGATTATTTACAGTCTTGATTGATGATAAATGATAATAATTATGATTCTCATGACGACATGGTTTTATTTTATTTATGCTCTATTTATGGCTTAAAAATTATGATCATAACTAAAGATATTTAGTTAGGTAATTTTTTAACAATAAAAAAATTGTGAGAAAATATAAAACTTTCAAGTTCGTATCGGAAACCAGAGTAATTTACGTAAAAATTTAAAGATATTAAATATATTTTTAATGTTGTTTTATCATTTTAATTCATAAAAAAATTATTTGTATTACACAATATTATTTAATCAAAACAAAATTGCATATTCAATAAAAACTTATTTTACTCGCGTGCATCATCGTTCATCACCATGCACGATAGTATGAATTTCAAATTATTTTTTGACTAAGTAAAGATATATATATATATATATAATTCATTAATTTGTCGCAATAAAATAAATAAACAACATTTTAGATTTATTTATTATACATAAATTATAAACTTATAACGTGTTATTCTACGCATGTGTTCAACATCCAAAAATACTACCAATTAAAACTGTTGAAATCAAATATTCTGTTAAGAAAGTAAACATTTCATTCAGTACCGTAGTCAATGAGAAAGATTTACGGGCTTAAGCTTCTTCTATCAAAAAAATAAATAAATAAATCTCAGATGATTATATTTTTCAAATTGAATTAAACTTTGCTTAATATTTATTTTTTTTTTTTGTCATTAAATAACAAATATTGAAGCCCTTCAAAAAAAATCCTATTTACAGTACTGGATTTATTAAATACTACAAAAAATAAATAAAAGTTGTGACTTACCAATAAAACATTTACTTATAACCGCGTTAATAAAGGTATGTAGATAGTAGTATCTACTCGTAAGTTGTAGTACAATTATTTCAATACCTACTTTGATTTTTAAATCTATATTTATAAATTTAATTTATAATTAGATATGTTTTAACTGTTTCAAGTATCTAGGTAATTTTTGCATTGTTTGTATCATCGAGGTATTATAATTTTATAAAAACAATTAAAAAATCATACAAAATGAATCAATTATTTCTACATTGCTCTTATTTATTAATATATACACATTTGCAAAGGCAAACATGATAACATAGTACTTAACTGAACTACATTTTAAATATTATATTCAATTTATTCTACGTTCTTTGCCGTACAATAATGATCATCGAGAGTTGTGTTAAAATTAGTTGCAACACTTAAAGCAAAAACAAAAACAATAGTATTTATTTTGTACGTTACCTATTAATAGGTACATTACATAATATCTCCAATACATACCTGTTATAGAATAATAACATATTTTATCTTATATTATGCTAATATAAGACATCACATCGTAAACACTGCGTAAATACCTCGCGTTTATTTATAATATTATTAATTACTGAAATTCAAGCCATGTGACCTGTGACTTGTGAGTGCTATTGATAAAGGTATATGAATAAAGTCATAACATACAAGTGCTTTTAATAGGTCTTCCTTAAAACTTATGTTATACAAAACATCCTTAATAAAATGTACAATTATACATAATTAGTAGATTGTGTGTATACAATATTCATCATTACATTTTACCCGATGGCAGTTTTCACAAATGTGTTGACTCCCCAAATCACCGAGTCTTTACAAACCAAGTATATTAAAATTATATAGGTTATACATTTAATATACAACATTCTTTCTTCGATGTTTAAATAAAAGTTATATACGCATTATACGCAACACGATACATCGAACCCTCCTTTGCATGATATATTTTGAGCTGAAACCTAAATTTTTCCACTTTAACACCTCTATAGAGTACAGAGCAATATTACATAACTATTAAATAAAATAGAATTTAAGTCATGTTAATTTTATACTGGTATTATTTATACAGTTTTTAAGTACCTAAAAGTAAATTATATTCTATAAGGGATAAAATATAATTTGAAAATAATAAAGGCTTAATTGTAATGAATGTCTTAACTATCTTAAAATATTTAAAATATTTATTTTTACTAAGTATTATTATAGCAATTAGTAATTCCCATGACAATTATTTATACGACTACTAATATCTAAATATATATATATAGTATTCATAACTTATACGGCGTACGTTAATGAGTTATCATCATAATACATAAATATGTCAAATAGAAACCTTGTATTAGTAGATAGAACTATAGAACTCACCGAACTAAGTCTGTCATAATTCGTTAAAATAAAAGATCAATTATTAAACCAAAAATCAGTTTAGATTTTTGAATCATTAAATGTATTATAATATTATAAATATTTACTATTTCCTAAGAAAAAATTTTCTCTTTCTTAGTACCACGTTGAATTAGCGAGTCTAAAATTTTTATAATGGATATAATTTAAATACAGTGATGCACTGTAGGTTATTGACATAATTCATCTAATTTGGTATTTTATTTATTTTTAGTTTTGATTGCAATGGGTTTGGTAGAATTCGGAACTATTCCACACTTGCAAAGCATTGGCTTTTTTTGCGGTGATCCCAAAATAAGCTATAAATACAAAGGCGATACAGTGGAGTCTCATGTGCTTATACTGGTTACGCTCATAATTCCATACTTGGCCGTAAGTCAAAATAACATGAAATTGATATATAGAGTTACAAAATATTAAAAAATACTTTATAGCTATAAAGGTAATAATATTATATACTATTGAGATTGATAAATACGGTAAAATATGCTCACAGGCAATGATGACAGAATACTTCGTTAAAGAAAAAAACAAATTTAATTCCGAACGATATGAATGGTTTAAAGAATCATTGCGATGGTATCGGCAGTATATCTTAGGACTGATATTCGTATTTTTTATAACGGACGTCGGTAAACTTCTAATTGGTGAACCTAGGCCACATTTTTTAGACACATGTCATCCTAGAGAAGCCAAGAACTGCACTAATAAGTAATTATCTATCTATTATTATAATACACTATTAACTGAAGTATATATATCAAACATATTAACGATTTAAACAAATCTATAAATTATAAACAATAATACTTGCCACGTTTAATATTGATGTGTTATATTTAAAACGAAATTTACATATTAATTTAGGTATATAGATCGTTATACATGTATGAACGAAAATGAAAGCGCATATATCATAAGAGATGCTAGCAAGTCATTTCCATCGGGCCATGCTTCCATTTCAGTATACGGATCAATATCTTTGGCTGTAAGTATAAAACTTGATATTTTTCTGTCATATAACTTACTTTTTTTTCATTATTATTTTTATATTTATTTAAAGTTTTCCATTTTTAAAATCTCGTAAAATGTTAATTAATTAAAATTTAATAATTTCAAATTGTAATTATAATTTATATACATAAACGTGCAGGATAAGTAGGTACTAATCTTCTATAGGTACAGTAGAACCTAAGTATTGAGTGGGTCACCTGTAATGAATGTGATAAATTTAAATTCAATAATAATTGTATATGAAAAAAAAACGATTATGAATAAAGACGGTTTAAGAATTTAAAATATTTGTATTATACAACTTAACACACAAATTTACCTCAATACTACTCAAAAAATTGATTTTTCATAGAATTAATTAATTTGTTTCATAAGTACATAATTATTATAAACTAAGACTCGTTAATTCGTCTTTCGTATGCAATGATTTATCATTTAATTCAAATTTAGCATATATGCATTATAATGACTAAAATGACTTGCTTAACGACAAGGTCTACTTGACACTTCTTACTGTTCAACAGAGCTGTTACTTTCTCCCTTTTTTTTATTTAGTTATGAATCATATTTTTTAAGTTGATTAACGCATTTTGTTTGTTAAATAGATATCTCGTATTTATGCACTTTATCATACTATATGATAATATTTTTGAAAAGATGTATCATTCTTTATTGCGTAATAGGTTTATAAATTAAACAATTTGTTTTCTCCGTATTATAAACGTACAAGATACAACACAGAAAATTTGCATTCAACAGAATCATTAGGTGTTGTTAGCCTACATTAGAGTCAATTGATCTTTTCAATTAAAATTCATCAAACTTAAAGGTAAAATATTATTTCTTTGTACGTCATTTATCTATGGTATTTCAAATTTTATGCAAGTTACGAATAAGTAAAATATTTCAATATTAAAAATGTTCATAACAGTCATAACTCTCTCAAAAATTAAAGTTTATCGTAAAAATCCGACGTACGTAAGAGTGTACAACGCAAATAATTTACTTGCCTTTAAGCTTGATAATAGGTCAAATATTCAAATCACTCTAACATAAAATTGGTTCTGCTGAATGTAAATTTGGTATCTTGCACCTTTGAAACATGGAGACGACACGTCATGTACGGATGTGACCTACGGTTTACCTTGAGCCTACGCCTTGTTTTCAGCTTATTCGTATTTATTTAAAAATATTTTAATTTATTGTTTTATTGTTCCAAGTTTCTAACTATATATCTACAAAATATACCTATAATATTATGTTTATACTTTAACAGTGGTATCTACACAACAAATGTAAATCGCGTTCGATGCTGTTAATGCCAGTCTTACAGGCATTGTGTATACTCTGGGCCATGTTTTGTTCCTTGACACGAATCACTGATCACAGACATCATTGGTGGGATGTGTTGGCCGGTTCGATCATTGGAATAGTGATCACCACTTACATTGTGAGTATGAAAAGTACTGAAATTACTATAGGGCCCTGAAGGAAGAGGTTTAGGGAACTTGCCCCCACCCAGAAATTCCAATAGCTCACCAAAATTAAAATGTTATCAAAAATGTTATTAATACTGTTATTTATGTTTCGATTATTCAAACTCCTCTATTAGTTCAACCAAATATTCGAGTATGCATAAAACATAAAGCTAGCTAATATATATTAACTTACTAATATTTTTACTGAGTTTTACATTTTAATTTTATTAATCATATTTCAATATGTATATAATAGAATTGCTGATACCTACTCGGTAAAAGCAACATAATAATAATATTTGCATGTATGACATTTTACCACATGTCCATGTGTAAGAACCTATTGACATTACCTGCAAAAAATAGCAGTTAACCTTTAAAGTCAGCTCAATTTAAAACACTTACCTTAAAAAAATAGACAATTAATATACACATTTCATACCTATAAAATATGATCTACCTGTAAAATGTTTTCGAAAAAAAATATGTTTTATTTATATTTTAATTGATTTTTTTTTTGTGTTCACCAGAATGGATTATTTGATAGACAAAAAAATGATAACAAATCACATTCGACTACTGAAACTTGGTCTAACGAGACGACGGACAACGGTTATTTTACTGCAGGAAGACTTTTAAACGTCGTCCCCGATGGTAAAAATCCATCTCTGAATTTGTAATTTTTGCCGAAAAGCAACTATATTGTACACATAAAATACTCACTTTATATTTTTACTCTGTACAGCATAAGTGTTATTGAAACAAAAATTATTTGTTAATGTTTAAACATCAGTATTCTCACTATTTAACTGTACATATATTAAATTACATATTTCCTTGTAAATTACATTAGATATAGAAATGCGTGACAAATTGGAATTTTAGTAGTTCGCGAGTTTAGTCCCGTTATTTTACACATATCTAAATTTATAATTTTTAATTATTTTTAATATTTGTTGTCGTGTACATATCATTATTATAATAATGTAGTTTTTATTAACTTTTTTTTTTCATTTAACCATAAAACGTAATACGCATACATACATACATACATACATACATACATACATACATATGATAATAGATTAGACGTGTATAATAATATATATGTATATATGTATATGTATATATATATGATATATCTTTAGGTTTTAAAAGTGTTTAATAAAACAAAACCTATTCGTATAATAATTAGACGCACTTTTATTAATACGCGACGTTTATTCGTGTAACATTTTCCAGCATATTTATAAACAATATGTTAATTTTTATACTATGTCATTTATTATTATTAAATAATAGTCAATAGATTATTTTTATATTTTATCATTTCACCTACAAAATTAAATTGTTTACTATGTATTTGTTATGTATACTTGGTTATAATTGAATAGGTATACCTCGCATGCGTAGTTATTCTATACATGGATATTTTTTAATAATAAAAGTTCCTTCGTAAACTTTACCTACTGCGTGTTATATACTGGTATACATATACCTCTTATATCTTAATGCTTTAATAAAGAATTCACATCATAAATAAAAAGCTAGAAAAACATTTAGTTCTATTTTTACTCTCTAAAAAACAGACAATTTGTTTTCGAAAACCTTAGTTCTGGTCTGTAGTCATATACGAATAATACTTTAATAAGTAAAAAAACATATGAAATTAAAATGATGAATTTTTAACTGAATAATGGGTTTTAAATGCATGTGAGTACAGTCGTAACTAGTGGTATAATACTATATGGAACAAAATATTTTTTCAAGTTTTAATTGGCCACTGTTTTTAATATCATTAAATTGAAAATTTAGGTAGGTATAATAATTTTATACATTTTATATACTTATAATATTCTATCACAATAGCTGCAAACGAACAACGTGTATAAAAATAAAATTCATTTAACTTACGCAATAAATATTGAAACAATTTAATGACTAATAAGTAATAAGTAATATTAATTGAGACAATATTAGAAAACTATTAAATGTGATATGCACTTATTAAATGTTGTATAAAATGTCTGTAACCTATTGTTATTGTTTGGAATCAATTTAAACAGAAGGCCTTTTTTATATGATATATTCAATAAATACATCAAACGAGTGAGTCATGAAGACCTTACAGTTGTGCCTATATATATTTATTATTTAAATTAAGTAAAAATGTCAGATCTTTGTGTTTCATTCTGTGGCGCGTATGAATAAAGACATATATAAATAGACATCTTATATAAAAATATATCACTTAGATACCTACAATATGTAGCTCTATAGGATATAATATTAGTATTGTTACAGTAGGAAAATATAAATTTCCCCTAGTTGTCGAGTTATTTTACATCCTTAAGTAATTTCCATAAATATTTTGGCGATATAAGATTACACAGATTTTTGTTTTGTGGAATGTCTTAGGTGGTTTGGGAATTTTAAAATCATTTAGTTTACTTTATTGGGTTTAATAGCTTAGTGCCGCAGTTAGGATATCCTAGGACGTTATTATATTATACTCCCATCATGAGTTAGTCTCATATTGTCTCTGTCTTAAAAACATATACGCTATAACAGGGGTTGGCAATTAAATTCTACGGCGGTCCAGATAATTTAAAAAAAAATTCCGATGGCCAGAATAAACTTAAATATTAATTAATAATTGTTGTTTTATCGAGATTATTATTCTAAAAGCGATGAACGCCATCGTAAAATAAATCAGATATATATTATGTGCAATGTGCGAGAAACCTGCATCACAAAAAAAAATAAATATTTTTGGCAGTCCGATTATTTTCTTTCCACGGGCCGGATTTGACCTACAGCCCACAGGTCGCTTATTGGCGACGCATTTATTATAATATGGTCAATTTGAGATTCTTCCGTGATAGAACACAATGACAGACAACGTAGGTGCTTATCTAGAGAGTATTATAATAGAAACAAACAATAAATTCGATGTGTCGACTGTCGAGTATCCGTTTCTTAGTCTTATTGCGTAGGTAGTGGTGTAGTGCGTAACAGCAATAATATGATTATAAAACAATCGCACGTCATTCGCATACCCACTCATTAACATGACTAGTGACTACTCGACTACAAATTTTAAGCTATATTGTATTAAACATTCGAGACGCAAAAATATAATATATTATTGAATATCAAATGTCCTAATGTCGACCAAAAATAAATTTAATAACATCAGCGGTATACAAACTAAGTGGGGGAAAAAAAACAAGTGCACATGCTGCATTTAACTTCAAAACTAATAAATATAGTATTAAAAAGTAAATGTGTAAGTGTTTGGATATAATGGCTTAAAGTTAATGGTTTCGATAATATTTTCAATCAACATGATATACGATTTAAGAGAACGTCGTACCACTCGTACCCACATGTATTATCTACGTCTTATACCATACTTAGGTTCAATAGTTTCAGTTTTGTGTTGTTATACTAGACTACTAGAACATAGTATAGGTAGCCAACTTGAAGCTCGCGAGTCACACGTGATTCTCGTCATTGTAAGATGTGATTCGCGTCTTATTTATGAAATCAAAATTTATTTAATATCATTATGAATTTTAATGTTTTAGGTATTAGCTTGTAAAAAATTATCAAATTATATAAAATGTGCCTACAAACATTTTGGCTCTCGGTATCATTGTATTTATCTGTGTGGCCCGCGAACCTATCATCATGTTGGCCACCCTTGTACTAAAGTAAGTTGACTATAATTATCGAATTTAAATATAAAAATATTGTCTGTGTTATTCCGTTGGTTTTTTACAATATTTTAATTTTCAAGCAAGTTATGAGTATAGGTATATAAATTATTTAAATTTAAAAATTCTTTTAAATCGCTTAAAAATTAAAATTTTACAAAAAAAAAACCAACAAGAGAACACAGATAATTTTCTTGATTTTAAGTTTGATAATAAGTCTGATACTCTAATATTAAATCTAACAACACAAAATGCTAAACTGCTAAACGAAAATTTGATATGTTACCTGTTACCTATATTTTCATATTAAAGTATATTGATTAATTGATTATTATACTAACTCTAATAGGTACCTATTTAATTCTAGATAAAGTGTATGAACACAAACATTTTAAATTATTATTCATAGTTTATATGTTGACATTGACTTATCTTTGAAATACTATTATACTACTGGCACATAAAACTGATTTTGATATAAATGTGAATCGTGCACAACTGATTAAAAATGTTTGGACAGTTTTTATAAAATGTGCCATCTTAATTTTCAAAAACATGTTGAACATTAGATTCATATTAAAAATTTTTGAACAAGTTAGAATAATTACTACATTTTTGTAATTACCAGGCCAATAGTTGGACCAGCGAGTTATCGAGAAAATCTCGGAGCGCCATTCAAAAAAATGCCGATTTTACTTATTTGGTCGTGATTTTATTTTTTTATGTATCATAAAAAATGATTAAAATATAATATGATGATGATAAATTACTACAAAAATTAAAAGAAAATATAATTTAATTGAATCATTTAATTGTAGGTACAGTAACTAATCATACATTCATGCATACATTAAAATTTAAAAATCCTAAAACTCGGTAGGCCGATACTTTGGCTAGCCGGCATTTCGACGCTGGTGATTATTTAAGCAAATAAACTTTTCGCCCTTGAATAACAAAGCTTTTTGTATTTCCTTAAACTAATTAATTTCCTTATCAATATTTTTTGAAAGATTCGAAAAACATTTTTAGCAGCTTACGTCAAATTAGAAATGAAAGATAATAAGTTATAATATGTTTTAAACTACACTTAAGATTTAATTGAAATCCTTGCTTTATACAAATTATCATTATGTGTGCAAACTAGTAAAATATTTCTTTTCATTCTGTGTTCAAAATTCAAATGAATTCTATATTACAGACAAACATTATACATAATGTGAAATCGAGTTCTTGCTATTTATACGTTGTCATGCTTCCTCGCTGCCCGCTGGGGAACAATTTATATTATACTAATAAAGAATAGACGACATTATATCTTAAGATTAGCAAAGTAAACTAATATTTTTAACTCGTTAAGTTAATTTTAAAGTTGGGTAAAAAATAATTTGCGAATTTTCGTGATTTTGACGAACTTTTTCTTACTAAACTTAGAATTATTTTTAAATAACTTTTACGATAATTCATACCTTTATGACTTTAATTCAAATTTCAAGTTTCGCATCTTAGCAGAAACTTTTTTATCGATATTTATAGATAAAAAATTGAAAAAGTCATTAAATAACTTCAAAATATTCAACTTTTTTTTTTAAATATGACTTTATTATGGAATATTACAATCTATACAGGCGTACAATAAGTAATAATTATAGTAAAAATTAAAAACTAAGAACTAATGAAAACATGGTAAGAAATCTCACATTAGAGAGACACCTAGTGGCTTTACATTAACATTTACAATTTATACAATTTTTAAGTCTCGACACCAGTTCCGCTTGAGTCAGCTGGTTGGATTTCCGGGTAGTGTTGATATGACAAGGTCCTTAATGAACTGATTGGGGTTGGATTGTAGTTTTGCGTGGAAGCGTTAGTGATATTGATAGCGGTTTCGTTGACAGAGCAGATTTTTAGGTCTGAATTTATTGCATTGTTGGAGATTTACCAGGATGTTCTGGTAATTATACGATAGCAAAATAAATATTCTGAAAGGTTTCTTTGATATTTTAGCAGAATCCCTTTTTACTACCCCGTACACCTAAAGTGGTTCTAGAAGTGTTTAAGGGGTAACGCTAGATTTGAGCGGAAAAGTGATCTTAGCAGGTGAAGTCTTGAGTTAAGCTTTTTGCGTTTATCTTTGAGATGAGATGACCATTTTAGACGTCGATTGAATATTAAACCGAGATATTCACTTCATTTGAATGAGAGATAACAGTGATTCAAAATTTTAAAAATTAAAACATATATAAAAAATGACCATATAAATATTTGATGAAAATTTATAGTATCAATACAATTATTTATTAATGAATAGCAAGAACATTTAAAAATAAATTTAGTTAATACACGTTTTGCGTAAAACTTTTTGTTTTCTCTAATTCTTTTTTTGTTTTTCCCAACTATTAAGAAAAGTATCAAAGATTTTTTACTTTTAACTCTAAAATATCAATAAGATCCAAATTGCTGCCAGAAATCACCCTCAAGGTTGAATAAAGTACCTGTAAAAAGTGACGATAGACACAAAAGTAAAACATCATTGTAAAATCAATACACATTTATCGCTCCGCTCAGAATCTATAATATCCTGTAGTTTTGTAAATAATATTATTATAAATTTGACAACATTTAGTACACAACCGTGTTGTATACTCGTATATTTATATTTATGGTTTTCCATTGTTGTTCAATCAACATACACAATAGTGTTCCTTAAAAGGTAAGTCGTAAACAATCGGATTGTACTCATTCACGATTCACTTATTATGTTTATAATCTATCACATTTTTAAATTTTTTTTAGTTACAATATGTCTTATCTATATGTACATTGTACAATCTACAATCCATAAGATGACATACCTATCATATTGCTGTCTTTGATTTGACAGTCAGGTTATATTTTTAAACAGACTTCTATTAACGAGTGAATGAAACGAAAACTCTATAGCTATTAGCTACCATGTAGCGGCGCCATAGGCAAGCCCGAATGGGCCATGACCTCCTCCCCCCTTAAAAAATTATGGCCCATTCGTTAGCTCGTCTTGGAATTTTTATTCAACAGTTTAACACACAAGTATTAATTTGAATTTTTAAATATCATTACGTAAATAGTTTTAAAAATATAGATATGTGTAATGTCGGGTTGTGGTATTTTAACATCATACACACTCGGTCACGCTGGTCATAGACACAAGTGTACGTTGTTTAGGTACGTTTTGTATTATGTTCTGTTTGCTTAAATGGTTTAGACAAGAATATTATCACCGTGCAAATCTCATTTTAAATCATTCTAAAAAAAATATGACCATATACAATACACATTCATGCGTAGGTACATGTAAAATGTAGCGAATAATATAAAGCAACTAGGTAACAACAAGTAGACACTCGTAGTTTCATTAGGTTTAATATTAAAGCAAATCTACCAACCTATTATGAAACTTGATGGTAAGAACCTTAATCTGTATTCCTATTTAAATTTTACGATAATTCCATTTTAAGCGAGTTATGGCTATTTTATATACCAATGTAAAATTTAATAAAAAAATTGAATTATCGTAAAAAACTTACTTAAGAACTCTGATAAAATTCTTAACATTAAGTTTCATAATAGGTTGATTTATTCTAATATTAAAGCTGATGAAGCTAAATGTGAACTGATAATCGTAAATTTGCTATGTTGTGCACTTGTACAACAGCGGGTACAACGAATACCGGTGTGATGTCCTCTTGAGAAATTAAATTCTGCATTGAATAAGTATTTTTATATAACAAAGGTACCGCTGAATTAAAAAAATAATATGATTTTAAACATTTAAGCATCAGCATTAATATTTAATAGGTAATAAAAATGACGTGTACGTAGAGATGGACGAATTATAAATGGGAATATAATATTTTATTTCAGTGCTATTAAATTCCTAAGATCAAAAATATTACCGATAGAATCTAAGATAGGTACCTATAAAATATACTTTTGAAACTTGATTACTGACCGAAGATGATAACAGAAGAGTTACCACGTTCGAAAGGAAAGTATTAAGTATTACGAACCATGTACAGGCCAATCCTTAATCCGGAAACATAGATTGATTAAAGAAGAAGCGATGAAAAAATAAAGAGACTATATACAAATTATACAATTGGCCAGACATATGCTCTCTTTTATCAGGAGAAAACGGTTAGAACGGGTCGGCCATGCGCGGAGAGCAAATGGTTAGTTAATTAAAAATGTTTTAATCGACAAAATTAATAAAACAATACCTGATGGATTGACATTTTTACAAAAACAACGATAGACCAAAACGAGACGTTATACAGACAGCGTATTAGAAAGAAATTTTGATGGCAGTGTGCTGGTCCTGAATGGACCATTGAGCTAACGAAGAATAAAAAGAACAAGATAGGTATCGTACTTGGGTCCAGACGGTGAATGCCATTATTGCTCACTTGTGTCATTACTTACCATGTGACTGTGCCTGTCACAATATGTGTTGGCTTCCCAGTTTCTTTTGGCTTACCCTGGAAAAAAAACTTAGCGCCGCTATTGACAGCTTAACCTAACCTATAAGTAACATATATATGTGTACTGTTTTGTTTTATACTTGCAGTAGGTACAGTAGTATATTTTGTTTTTATTCGCATTTATTGATTTTACATTTAACGAGATTTCCTTTTTAATTTGTTTTTTTGTTTTCATCGTATAACAGTAGGTACAATAACACAAACCGATATTAACCGTCAAGTATAATTTATTTATTAAAAACACCTTACACACATTGATTTTTTTTTAATGGTTAAATTCCAGCTAGCATAGGCTATAATATTATAATATTATGTACATAAAATGTTTAATATTTATAATTTTAAAAGTTAAAATATAATACTATTGGGCATTTGGGCATTGATTAAATATACTTAATAAATACCTGATAAGTAGGTAGACATGTTCAATCAGTGATTAAGGATAATATCTACTATAGGTACCTACTTTAAACTTTCATAAGAAAGCATTTTTATATATAAATGTCATATCACATATGCACTTAACAATTATTTACGTTAAAAAATAAAATAAAATAGCTAATTCTTCAAATCATTATTAGCATACAATAAGTTTAACAATATTATCTATTTGTTTTTGAATATGATATTTATTAATTAAAATCACTTCCGTATCTCAACGTCAGAAATATTTTAAAATTTTTAATACCTACCTAGGGTTTAACTTTCAACTGAAGTCACATCACTCTAACATGCTTTAGTATATACTGGCTGCCTTTATAAATTTATAATAGTTTATTATAAATGCCTACTAGATAGTAGATAGTAGATAGTAGGTACCTACTTACCAATTGTGTAAAAAAAAAATTATTCAAGTGCATAATCATAGGATGAATTAGGTGGTACCCGTTTATGCCAAAATAAAAAATTATGATAACATTTTTATTAACAGCCTTTTTGCGCCATATTTGAATGCGTACCTATACATTTAACAATAGTCAAAAGGTAATAATGGTTTAATTAGGTAACAATAAATAAAATTGTGTAAAACATTAATTATAAACAAATTTACAAATAATTTTTTTTTTTTTTTAAACAATTGAAAGAAATGGTCATACATAGATGTATATTAGTTTACTAATCAAAAAATATACTAAACGATAGCGTTATATTAATAAAATTTGACTACCTAGCAAAATTATTCATTCAAGTTGGAAACATTAAGTCAAGCCAGTAATGTTGCAAACATTTATATTTGTTTTTTAATATTATGTAATAAAATTAACATATTGGTAATAAGTGTACCTTAGTATCTGTATATTAAACTAATTAACTAGTTACATACCTATTTTTAATAATTTAACTATTATGTTTTTAATATTATACATTAATTAAAAAATAATTTTGTTAAAGCTTATTTAAATCATAATTTGACATTCAAAGTTGACCATTATAACATTTTAAATATTGAAACATAAGTTATTATTACATTTAAAAGATATTTTAATGTTTTTAGGGCTGTATTTATATATTTGAATTTTTAAAAAAAATAGTGAAGTATTAACTATAATTTAAAAACAGTATATAACTTTAAAAAAAAAATGAAAATTATAATTTTTTTTATAGTTTTATAAAATACCAAACTTATTAGTTTAGTACTGTATTATATAAAATGTAATTCACTTTTTTAATGAAAGATTTTATCCATATGATCATTATATTATAAAGTATAATTAATTTTTATTTTATAGTATATACATAGGTACCTTTTTATAATTTTACAAAACCTAATCATTATTACTATAAAATCTACACTTAAATAAATTTGTTTTAAAAGGGGTATTAATAAAATTGTACCTTTTTTATTTCGATGCAGATAGACTTAAACTTCTTACTAGAAAACGTAGGTTTTTCTTTTATTAGTTCCTTCTAGACACCAATCAAAACTTTTTTAGAATAATTAATTATTAAACATATTCATTTTTAAAATATATTAATATTAAGTTTAGTAACATAATTTTTGATAAATTTAAAAATTATATTTTTGTTTAATAGATTCTACTTCTAAAATAAGAGCAATAATTACCAACAGACAATTGATTAATTTAAATCATCTTTCAACGAAGATGGTATGTTGTATTGTTGCGGTTATTACAAAAATGATGCCAGCGTTAATGTATTTCATAAATGACCTAAATAATTTCTTAATTATAATAATGAGATATCTGGAAGAATCTTCACTTTATAATTTAAATTAAATGTATACAATATATAAACATAATCAACTGAATATAATAGTTTAAATTATTATGTATAATATATGTTATATTTGATGATATAATGTTTAATTGACAAAAATAAGTCTTTTTTTTTTTGAAATATTAAGCGATTGTTTAATTTATTTATATCATAAAAAATAAAATGCTTAGCCAAATATGCCCATTGAAACCAAGTTGTATGTTATTAAACTATTATTGATAAGTTGCATAAAAAATGTAATTAATTTAAGGTTCATTAAATTATATTTAAGGGACTATTAGAGCTACCTATTGATTTATTATGTTTAGATTTTTAATGCAATCAAACAAGAATAATATAAATTATCATAGTAGCTTGTCTTATAATTTTAGAAATATGCAATTACAATTAATTTTCTTGGTTGAAATCATAATATCTTAATTTAGTTCATACTATCTTGTATACTAGATTTAAATTTAGGAAGAATTAAATAAAAAATAAGACACTAAATTGTATTAATGATCGTTTAAATTAAACGAAAAGAAAATATATTGATGTCAAACATTTTAAAAAAAATTAGAATTATGCTTTTTTAGTTGCAGCTTTCTTCTTCCTGAATTCAGCAAACTTGGTCCTTAATGCTAACCTCTTTTCACTTCTTTCGTTAGCCCTGGCCAATTGTTCTGCAGTGGACAGATTTCCTTTTAAAGCATGTTTTTGGTTTCTTAAAAACTTTTGACAAACCTATAAAAATAACAACATTGTAAATATTTAATGACACCAAAAAATTTGAATTTGATACTTACACCACGACGTGATTCATGTCTGAATTTCTTTGGCCTCATAATACCATTACGATGGTCCTTGCGATCTAAATAAATATATAGAAGAGAATTATTAAATAATTATTAAAAGAATTTAAAATTAAAATTTTACTTTGATTGTGATTGGTATGATTCTTTGACTTGGCCATTTTGCAAGTTTATAAGATAATAATTTCTGAAAGAAAATAATCAGACATAGTTTATTCTATTTTTAAGTTAAATAGATAATATTAATTACTTATTGCATAATAATTAAAAATATTTTATTTAATAGTATTAGCAGCTTTTACTGATTTTATATAAGTACAAAATCTCAGCTAATCCATACATACATAAATAAAATATTTAAATTAATACAATTCATTTTAAGTTCTAAGTTTAAGGAAAAAAAAAAAAGTAGATCTACATTATAGTATTAACACGTTGAATGCCATATGCTCGCCGGCAACCAAGTCATATATGCCATACTATTTTTACATGGTCTGTCATAAATGTTTATATTAATAAAAAAAACTCCAGTTGTACAATTTTAATAAAATTGATATTTTTAGAATCAGTAGAACGATTTTAATGTTCTTTTTTTTTAATTGTTTAATTTGTTTTGTCTACACCGTGGTTCAATTTAAAAACTATTATTTTCAAGTCTTGAAGAGTTATATGTATTAGATTAGGTTGATGTTAAATTGTGCAGCGGGCAACCCAAGTGGCGTCATATTTATAATATGATTTAGGTCGCAGGTGAGCATGTAGTCAATACGTTAAGTGTTAAGAGTAAACGTTCATTTTTAATTTTTCCAATACAAATATGGATTTTAATAGCTTAAGTAAAACTAATTTTACACATAATTGAATATTCACAGAGATTCATATAATGATTTATTTGACAAAGTTACTACGTTTGCTTTCATGTTAATACTTATGTACACTGAAAATTGAAGTAAAAACAACTGAAACTAAAATTAAGTTTCTTTCAAGATGTAAAGTATATAATATATATTTTTACGAGTAAATTAATATAAACGATTGCTTATTGTTAGTCTTTCAAAGCGAAGTATAATATCAACAAATAATTCATTGTTATAATTTGAATCACATATTTATTTCAATAAGTTTTAAGAAAATAAAGTTGAGTAGATAATAATTTATTTTGTTCAAAAGTCTTAGGTAATGTATAGGTTTTTGGTTTTTAAACTTCATATTTATGTATCCTTTAGATAAGCAATTACTACTTTTATAAGATGTAGGTAGTGATGAATTATTAAAAAACAATGTTAACATATTGAATTATATTTAATTAGTATCAAAATAAATGGAAATTAAATTTAAACAAAAGTTTTAAAATTAATGTACATTTTCAAATTTTAAGATACCTAACCTAATATTAAGGACCATGTGACACGAGTAATTTGGAGTGCGTAATGTAATGATGCCGATTAGTTTCAAGGGTAATATTAATATTGTTACGATTTATGGTCAAGCAAATACTATTAAATCTATTAAAATAACAATATACATAATACAGTTAGGAAATAAAATATTATTTTGAAATTTACCTTAAACACGAAGATGAACAAGACTGCCGATAACACGACGAGTCGACGACAAAAACTAGAGAATGTATACACTACACACTATACAATACAATGATACTGTACAATTCTGCGATCTACACCAAAACAAAACATGACGCCATTCCTAAGTAAAATTTGATAAGAGATTCTACAAATTGTAGATAATAATATGTCAAGGAGGATAAACACAGTTATTTCTATCCAACATGACAATGTAAAATTTCAAGAATAATTTAAAAAAATAAATTTTTTCAAAAACTATTGTTGACATAGAAAATGGTTAGAAATTTCAAATTAGAGTGGATTAGCAAGTGGAAAAACGTGTCCACAACACCAATGTAAAATTCAAAACAGCATTTTGAATTTCACACCATGATCATTGCAACACTGCAATAAAACGTCATGTATTTCCTGATAAAGATTCCAGAAAAAATCAATTTTATTTGTGTTTTGTTATTACGTCCTATTAATATTTCTGTCGACAGTTAAAAATTATTGTAATTTTTACGTGCACACACCGAGAACAGTGATTGAACGAGTTGGTCGTGTTTTATTGCCTTCATTTTTAATATTTGAAGAAATTGATATAACATTGTTTTAATAATTGTATTGCAGCAGTTCCACAAAAGCGTTCAGGATGGCTACTTTGCCTTCCCCAAATGAAGTGAGAAAAATAATTAACTTTAAATTGAAATAGGATAACCTGATTGAAATTGATAAAATAATTATTTACCTAATAAATTTTAAATTAAAAATATTTTGTTTTAAGTAAAACTATCTTAAGATTCTATAATGTATTTTAGTTATTCAATGGGGTGAATTGTTTACTACTTACCTGACTCCACCCTAAAATCAATTTATTAATAATGTTTATTTATATTTTATATCTTATGGTTATCCAATATCAAGGTTATTTTGAAACATTTTTATTAGTGTTCAATGTTAAATATATTTAATGCATAATTATAGGTAGCTGGAAGTCACTTCCCAATTTATGAAGCACTTTATAATATGGTAAGTAATTACTTTGATTTTAAATTTTAAGCTTTTTATCATTTTTGATTTGAATTTGGAAAGCTAAGCGCAACAACTTTAAAAGTTTGTATTTTAAAACAGTAGTATAAGCATATTATACCTTCTTTATAAGCCTGTTTATATTAAATTGAATATCATTATTTAAATCAAAAAATTAGTCGTGACACTCATTTTTTAGGTTTACTTACGTTTTAAAATATGTTTTATGCTTGTCCTGAATAGTTTTAAAAAGAAAATGAACTGATTGTTTCAATTTGCTTTTCATAATTATAGTGAATATATTTTTCTAATAATCAAAGCATGTGTTATAACTAGATTTACGACTCATTAAAAGGTAGCTCAACTGTGAGCTTCCCTTCACCGCCCCCTCACTGTCACCCCTCCCACCAATTTACTCATTGTACAAACTTGTATAGATTGTAAATTTTCAAATAAACGCTATTTAAAAAAAAAAAAAAAAAAAAACTTATAAGATTAAGTTAACCTATTTTTTATTTTTAAACCTTTTATTCATAAATAACTTAAAATCTTAAATAACAGAAAGTAATAGTTCATTAAAAATAATTAGTTATGTATAATATTTACAATACTAGCTTAACCTTAATCCAAAGCATAGAATTTTAAAATAAATGTTCATAAAATTTAATTTTAAAATCAATTAAATTACCTATTATTTATTCTACATTTAAGAAATTTAAGCGGAATACATTCATTTGACTGGAAGTTACAAATTTATTAGCAACATAAATATTAAATGCTATTCTTCCTGTTTATATACTTATTAATATTAAATATTTATATGTATATATTTTTTTAAATGTAGATTTTCGACTTTGCTGTTTTTTATGATAATTAGTATATTAAATAATTTTTTTGGTTTTTAGGTAGATCCTACAAATAAAGGCAATATTGGAGCGATGGATGCAGCAAACTTCCTTAAAAAGTCTGGACTATCACAAATTATACTTAGTCAAGTAAGTTTATAAATATTATATTCATTACTTACTAGTTATTATTTTAAATTTTAAAGAAAAAAGAACCTTTTAATAAAATAGAAAAATATATTACAAATATTTTTTTACTGTTTTGAAGATTTGGGATTTATCAGACCCAACTGCCAAAGGTTTCTTAACCAAACAAGGATTTTTTGTGGCACTTAAATTGATAGCATTAGCACAAGCTGGACGAGAAATATCAATGTTAAACATCACTCAACAAACCACACCACCTAACATGGTATAAGTCAAATTATTGACTTGCTGTATAAAAATAATATTGGATAATTTTTTGTAATATAGGGCGAAGCATCAAAACACATAGCAAGCAATGTTTTAACAGCAGGATTAGTTACTGCTGTTACTAATATGAATGACTGGTCAATGAAGCCTTCAGAGAGAATGAACTACGATAAAATGTTTGAATCATTAAGACCAACCAATGGAACAGTTGCTGGAGATAAAGTAAATAGCATGTAGTATTATATTAATTGTATATTTTTATATATGTATACATATATATTTAGGTTAAAGGACTGCTTATTGATTCTAAACTATCAGTTGATACTTTGGGCAAAATTTGGGATTTGGCTGATATGGATAAAGATGGAAAATTAGATCAACATGAGTTTGCTGTTGTATGTATATTTAAATATTCAATATTATTATGTTATAAAAACTGATTAAAAACATAATGTTTTTTAGGCAATGCATTTAGTTTATAAAGCGTTAGAAAAATATGCTATTCCTAGCATTTTACCTACTGAGTTATTACCGCCAGCAAAAAGAAAAGGAACTACCGTGGCTAATTCACCTGTACCTATATTACCAGTGCTTTCTTCTGGCGCAACTTCAAATCTAGTCAAACAACCACCCAAAGTAAGTTTTTGGATTAACCTAATCAATAAATAACTACAATTTTCTCAAATATTTAAAATATATTATACTCTTATTTATACAAATTAGGATACTTTTTAATTAAATAGTTATTAAAAATATTTGCATATCATATAATTTTGAATTGTGAAAACTTGTTTAATAACAACAAGAAAGTACAAATCAATTTTTTGTACTATTCAAAAATCAATATTAAATTTAAAATATTATTTTAAAAGAAAAATATCTAAAATTAGTAATTTTTAAATTAATTAAATTAAATTTTTTTAAACTTATGCCATGGTGCTATTTTTTTAATAAGAAAAAAATTAACTTATCAAATAATTGAGTAATAAGTGCTGGAAAGCAAGCTATTTTAGTCACAAATTATTGCATATATATATATATATGCATATATTAATTATACATGTCTCATTCAAAATAAATTATCTAAAATTTAATATATTTTTTATCTATTTTTAAATCTTAGAGTACTAACCTTATTAATATACTTTTATTTCTTTTGGTTTATCAAGTTAAAAAATATAATGTAGAATATGTTGTTTTATTAGAATTAAATACCAGTTGTCAAAAAGATAACATGGGTCTTGCTAATGAATGGTCAATACCTAATTGATAACAATAAGGTATTGTACTTTATCATTAAAGATACTTAACAATATTTAGGAATAATTGATAGGAGTTAGAAAAGTATATAATAAACAAGTTAAAAATGATCAGTATTCATTGAATTGATAAGTTGTAAGTAATCTAGAATTAATAAATATTTTAAGGTTAAAAAGTGATAGGTATTTTCTATAAATTATATAATATATGTTTAAAATTAGAAATAAAACAAGAAAATATACATAATATAGTTAAGTTGTAATATATTTTTAACTACTTATAAGTGATATTTAATTAGCTAGTAATACAGATTCTGTTATTAATTAAACATCTTAACTTAAATTATCATATATTGTACTAATAAAAATTATTTAAACATTTTAATTCATTTGTGAGTTTTATATTATAATCAATGGGTTTTAATTTTTGTTTTTAACTTCTGTTTAGAGACCAGTTACTCCATCTATAGGTTTAGTGTCATTACCAGCTACATGGGTAGTTACTGCAGAAGAAAAAGCCCGTTACGATTCTATGTTTTTGGAGTCTGATATTGATATGGATGGTTTTGTCTCTGGACCAGAAATCAAAGATAGGTTTCTTAAAACTGGTATCCATCAATCTATATTAGCACATATATGGTAATTTTTAGGAATTAAGTTATTTATTTTTATTGATAATTATTTTGTTAATTATAAATATTCTAGGAGTCTTTGTGATATTAATCAACACGGCAAATTGGATATGGAGCAGTTTAGTCTTGCAATGTGGTTAGTTGAACGTAAACTCAAAGGAATTGATCCACCAAATACACTTTCTCCTGAAATGGTACCTCCAAGCAGTAGAACTGTTACTCCGTCAAATTCTGTTCAAGTAAGAATAACGATAATTATTAATTATGTATAAAAAAAAATTGTTTTATATATTTAATACCTAGAATATGCAGCTTCTTTATCAAAAAACATTTTAAATCCAATCCATACAAAAATCCCTAGGACAACAAAAACAGCATAAAAATATATATCTCTTTGATTTGAAATATTAAATTCTTTAATTAATTTTATCTCCACTATTCCAGCTAGGTCATCAATTTGCCAACATCTAAAAATTGAAAGGTTTTATAATTTTTAAATCATTTATGTATCATAGGTAATATTAGGAATATTATGTTTACGTAAATATTTTTTCATCTTCTTCAGTTATATTTTTAATAGTTAGTCTATTTAATATATCAACAGTTATTCGCTCATTGGATAATAAAATAATCTGGTTATTTACCCTCCATTCATATGGAGCGTCTGAATTTAAATTTCTATTTATGTTTTAAAAGTTAAACAAATTAATACTGTTGTGTTTTAGGTATAATGAATAAACTCATTTTTTTCCTAACCCGGGGCATGTAATATTGAGTTGTTCATTTAAAAATGTAATTATCACTGAAGTTTCTACTTTTGGTGGCATTTTAGGTATTATTTGCAATGGTGAATATATACCAGCAGAATTATTAACTTTTTCTTTAACATTCCCCAGAATATCTTTTATTTCAAATAAATCATCTTTATTACATTTAACCTTAAAAAAATTAATTAATAAAATTAAAAATACTTGATTTATTACATTTTAAAAGTATGTGATTATATTACTTGGCAATGTTCAATCATTACTCTTATTTCTTTATTCATTATTGTAATACCATAATAACCAAACAAATCTAGTAAACTACTTTCACATGGTAAACCAGTATCAAAAGCAGCCATTAATCTTTCTAAAACGTGTATTTTCTTTTTGTTTTTTTTATGTTTAATATTTATTTCATTAATGACATTATCTATTATTTAAAAAAATATTAGTCATTTTTAATAATTTTTTTTTTTTGTATTTTAGGTAAATACAATGTATGTTTGTTTTTTAACTAGGTAGTCAAATCTACTTTTTTTTATATAAATGTTAAATTTCTAAATATTCCTAATTTATTGTAACACATTAAGACCATAAAACTTAGATTCTTAGTTACCTTTTAATGATATCTGACAATGACCAAATTTATTTTTTTTGCCCATCACTTCACATTTACTACATAACGACCACTGAGTCCATTGAGTCCAAATTTTCAGATTTACATCTTCTAAAATTATATTTCCACTTGATGTATAATTGAAAAAAATAGTATTGTTCATCTAAATGTATGTTATATACTAATAATTATGTATTTTGTTCAATAATAAATTTATTTTTTTATCTACATCAATGATCAGCTCTTTATTATCATTAATAAGTTCAATAAAGTAAGGTCCTGCATCATTATTAGACAATTTACATTGATAGAAACCACTTTTAGATTCATCCATGTTTATTATAGTTAAAGATAAGTCCAACGATGAAACACGAAAATAATCATTTTCTTCTATCAAGCTTAAATTATTTGAGTTTCCTATCCATGAGTAGTACCATACATTTTTGTGACGTATATCATTAGGAGAAATACATAGTTCACATTCTAAGCTATTAATTATAAAAACATTGTTTGTAGTTACATACATATATATGTTATGGTCAATTATAGGCGGCATAAGTTAAAATCAGATAAATATCAATATTTCCAGTTAAAATACAAACTGCCTATGGTACTTGGAAATAACATATTTTGACTTTTTCCCAGACAAACTTAGTTATGAGTAACATAATTTGAGTAAAACTTTTTAAAAATTAATCATAAATTTGAATATTTTACATTAATGTAAATTTTTTTTTTTAATTGACAATAATGTAGAAATATAATTATGTTATACTATTTACACTTATATTTGCCTTAGTAGTATTATAATGTTAATTAAAAAAATAAAAGAAATCAAAAATAAATTCGTTAACTAAAAATTATTACTAAATAAAGTAATCATACATCAAATATTAAATAGTACATTATAGTATATTTTATAATATATTTTTAGTATATTTATATCTTATATAGATATTTTATTTATTGATTTATACTAAAGTAATTTAGTTATCTTCTTGCTTCAGTACTATATTAGTTTGATAAAGTTTGTACCATATATATTAACTAACAATCATATAAATATTTGATTAATCAATAATCAATTGATTTTACAATAGAACTAGATATATTTGCTAGTCAAAATATGATGTTTTTACCAAGAACTGTAGGTAGTTAGTGTTATAATAAGAAATTTCTAAGGTTTACCTGATTTAAACTTTTACTTTCAAATAATTATATTATACTATGAACTATAGTAAAAATTTAAAGACCTTAAAGATGAGCTTCTAAATGTAGTTATTACTTTTGCTTGGAAAATATTATTTTCATTGATACTTTTAAGAAGCTCTTCTAAACACTTATAGTATAAATCCCAAAGTTGCTTATTTTTATTTATTTTTTCAAAATCTTTTCCAGGATAGTCAAGATAAGAACTCGGTTTAGGTCCTATTTGAGAAATTCCACGATTTTTACTCCAATTTTCTTCTAAAATATTTTTTGTTTTTTTCTGCAAATTCTTCCATTTTGATTTTAAATCAATAGATATAATATCTTCTGAAAATATTAAAACAAGTATTGCTATAGAAATTACCTGCATGTTCATAATTTTAAGCTAACATTTTTCTAAATATGTTAAATTAATTTAGTTTTTTAAATTAAACAATTAAAATTAGTTTTAGTAACCAAAGCTAGTAAATAACATTGTTGATTAGGTAATTTTCTTATTAATGGCTGTTATGAAAAAATACTCCAATTTTATTACAGTTTCATCCTCAGTCCTACTGAACTATCTTTTTTATTTGGGATATATCAGTGGTTCTCAACCTCATTTCGTGATCCAAATTGGGGTTGCAGAAGTATTTTTAATAATCACATGGGTATATTCAGATATTATTTCAACATTTATGAATATTATAAATATAATATAATATGCAAATTTAAAATATTGGTAATTTATTTTAGTTATTATTTTAAGGGTTTCAAAAAGTTAAATTTAAAACTAGAATCATGCTTATTAAAAGTTAAGAATCTCAGAGATAGAGAATAGTAGTAAAATATAATTATATTGTAAAAATATAATTGGATGTATTTGATTAATAGTTATGTTTTTTTAAGATTCTAGAAAAGCCCCCAATGTATACAAATCCTGAGCTGGATATGATTCAAAAAGATATTGATGAACTAGTCAAAGAAAGACTTATTCTGGAAACAGAAATTGCTCAAAAAGAAGCTGATTTGAAAATACGTTCTGGTGAAGTCAAAAGTTTACAGGTAAATGATTTAAAAAATTGAGAGTAATACTGTAAATGAATATTTTTAAAACTGAATAATTAACAAATACAAAAAACATAAAATTAATTCACTCATAAAGATGTTATTAAAATATTTTAAACTTTTATTAATTTTTTTATTTGTATATAAAAGTTTTAATTATTTTGAATATTTTTCAAACAAAAAATCTTTCTTAATATGTTATTACAGTATAAAATTTTGTTTAACTTTAAATTTAATATCAATTTATTTTTAGGGAGAACTAGACACCTTATCTGCTACCCTAAAACAGTTAGAAAATCAAAAAGGTGAAGCTCAAAAAAGACTGAATGATCTCAAAAACCAGGTAACTTAGATTTTAATCAAATATCACCAAAATATAACAAGTGTAAATAAGATTTATTATTGAATAGTATTTTGTATTATTTTGTATTGTTTATTATTTAATTAACATAAGAATAATTTTACTAATTCAGTCTTAACATTTTGAATTTGTTTTGCATTTTAGTTATGTAACACTGATTTTATTGATTGTCTGCTTATTAATTTATTATTTTTAATCCTCCTTTTAACTTGCATGTGCACATTTTCACAATTTTAGACTCTGTTGGTAGAGAATGAAATAATCAACACCAATCAGAAAATTAAGGCTGAACAAATACAGGTATTTTATCCTAAACCTTAGCTTTATTATCCCGCTTATTTTTATACTTAACTGCATGTTTAATAAATTGTTAAAAATTTAACAAAAAAATAAATTACTAAGAAATTCTATAGATTGTGATTTCCTGTTTTTTATATGATAATTGAAAAGAAAAAATCATGGTAGCCAATATTTTGTTTTTGTTTTTAATTATTATTTGTTAATATAGGTATGATTTATGCGGTATAATTTAACTTATCTTTATTAATCATTATAAATAAATAAAAATACAAAATTATGTTGCAATTATTGATCTATTTCGATATTTTTTTTAATTATTACCAATTGACTGTTAATATTTTATTTTTTCATAATTATTATTAAATATTGGATAGAGCAAAGTTGTATAAAGATGTATTTTTAGATTTTTAAACATTTATTTGTGTGGTAAAAAACTACCTATAATAATATTTTAGGGGATTTTTTCCATCTTAATAGCTGTATAGCAATTAATTTGTTAAGTGAATCAGTACTATATAATAATATGTACTAAAAAGATTTCAAAATATCTCATCCAGTAGAATATATATTAATTGTAATAAAACCATTCTGGATTTTTGTTCTATAGCCTATTAAAATTAGTTGAACATAATTATTACAAATTATATTTTCATTTGATCAGATTTAATTTTTATTAACATACCTTCTACTTTTATTAATTGTTTTATACAGTAAATTAATAAAATATATTATTCAACAGGTAGACAATCTTCGCAGACAAGCTGATGAGCAAGAACTTACATTAAAAGCGCAAGAAGCTGATCTTTCTTCTAAAAAACAAGAGCTTGAAGAACTAAAAACTTTGGAACATAAACTTGAAAAAGATCAAGCTGAAATGGGTAAAAGATTGGAAGAACTAAATAACATGTTGCAAAATTCACAACTACAAATAAGTCAGGTAAAATTAATTATAGAAACCATTTAAAATATATATTTTAATGTCATGAGTTTCCTTAGTTCAAGAATAAAGTAAATCAATTAGAAGAGAATAAGCGCCAAATGGAAAATACAATTGAGTCAACTGAAAAAGCGTTAGCTGAAGGAAATATTTATGCCATTCCAGATTCTTTATTAACATTTAATTTAGAATTCAGGGATCTTGAATGTAGTAGACTTTTGGGAAAAATTGTAAGTTAAAATTTATAAGAACCATATTCAAATTGTTAATATTTTTTATGTATAATTTTATTTCTTACATAATTTTTAGGTTGATAATAAAAATTCTTTTGAAAATGTAAACGGTTTTACTCCAACAAGCGGGCCAAGTGGATCACGCGATGAAAATTCATTTAAAACAGGTAATTAGTGTAATTTTTTTTTTTTTGAATCTAAATTATTTAATTGCTTAAAATTTTTTCATAGATTTCTTCACAAATAATGATGCATTTTCCACGAACAATAAAGCGGTACATACAGTTATATAATTATAATATAATATTAATACAACTCTTGATCTATTTTTATTATGCTATAGGAAACTTTTTCAAATGATCCATTTACTTCATTTGATGATTCCAGAACTAGAAGTAAGTTCCATATTTTTACAGAATGCCTACTTGAAACTATAATATTGTAAAATATAATATTTACATATAATGGTGCATTTATGTTAAGGTCAAAGTACTGATCCATTTGGTGGTGAGACAAATGTATCTAAATCGTCTGATGTAAGTTATTTTCTTATTATATAATTTAACAAATTAATTCATTTAATATATAATTATTGATAAAATTAATACTTGTTTTAAATTTTTAAAGAGACACGAAGATAAAGACGAGTTTGGTTGTGATCCTTTTGCCATACTACATGCCCCAACAAGACCAAGTTCAGCACCACCTCCACAGCGACCTGAAAGTCCCACCCCAGCACTTCCACCTAAGAAAGGAAAACAACCACCACCAAGACCTGCTCCGCCAAGGCCAGCACCATATCATGCCCCAACATCTCTCAACAGTTCTTCAACAAGTTCAGAGTTTGCTGATTTTGCAAATTTTAGCAACAAGGTAATTTATTATAACTATTTTCAAAAGGTATACATATTTTCTATTCATTTCTTGATTTCCTAGTTACTGGTTTATTATTGCCTGGATGTTGTGTGTAAAAAAATTATATAATTGTATTAATAATCTATTGATTTGATGATCCTTGGGAAAAACTTAACATTATTATATATACTGTAGATAAGTATCACATATAAATTGTTAATCTATCAATAATGAAATCAATACATCAAACAATAAAAAGTATTACAATAACCAATTCTAATCTTAACTTGGATCTCAGAATATTTTTGTTTATCGTTATTCAAATTTTGGTATCCTTAATTTTTATCTTGTTTGTTTAATTATTGTTATTTCATACTTTCATTTTGATTGAAATTAATAGATTAATGTTACTTATATTTTTAAATCCCTGGAAGTGTTTAAAGAAATATATTAAGCATAATCACTTATATACTGTTTATTATTATGGATGGCAGGTCGATAATAAACTAGTATCATTCGTTATTTGAATTGTCTAAAGCTTCTATTAAATTTCCTTCATTATATTGATAGAATATTCTTTTAAATTAACAAAGTTACCAGGGGGAAGTTAAGTATTAGATTTTCTTTGAAATACAAACCTAGTTTTTCAAAATAATATAATTTGTATAGATAAACTTAATATGCAATGGTAAATAGTATATTAAATAGTGATGAATTAAAGTGTTATTTTTTACAATAATAAATAGTTAATGCGGCAATTAAATGATAAAGATATCAAATTTTATCATGCTCTGTCTATTTGATGATTTTTATTACTAATATATTTAACTTAATAATCAACGTTATTTTGTGTTAAAATTGTTCTTTTTTTCTTAAAAATTTCAATTATTACTTATTAGAGAACTAAGAAACTTAATAGGTTAATGTTATGTTATATGAACCAGTTCATTTTAATATTTAATGAATTAACTCCATCCTAATTTATATAAACATTATTTACTATTAATCAATTACTAATAAAAAAAATTGTGTTTTTTTTTATTATTTTTATTTTTATTTTATTTATTTTTTGTTTTTAGAAATAGATATGATTTTATTATTTTTATTTAAGTTTTTTTTTTTTTTTTATTATTATTTCTTTTTTTTTCCGTTCTATTATTAGTTTTCACAGAGTAATACCAAGACAGAGCCAAAAGCAGTTTCGCAGTCACACAGTTTTGAATTTACTGAAGACCCATTCAAGGACTATAGATATGAAGATCCATTTAAAATTGATCCTTTCTCAGATGCAGGATTTGAAACAGATCCCTTTGGCGATGGTGCATTTTCTTCTGACGAATCCCAAAAAGTTAATTTTAGTGATGAACAACTTGCATGGGAAGCCCAAAAAAAATTTCGAATGGAAGAAGAAAAGGCTCGTTTAGAGCAAGAAAAATCAGATTTTGAACTGGCCTTAAGGCTAAGTAAAGCCACATCTTCTGATAATAGGTCAAAAATTTTACTATAACAATAGAAGTATGTAAAATGCAACTACCAAAAATTAAACTTTGTATTAAAATAATATATTAATTTATTAGTTATTTTAAACTGTAATAGGTACAATATGCACATTATGTACCAATTTTATTTTTATTTATTATTTAACATTGAAAATTTAACATCATTCTACTCAGTAAAATGTAGTATTATATTTTGTTATATATATTTTTATCAAGTTGTAATTATTTTACCCTTAAAAATGCACACACTTTTTTAAGGTGATGTACTAATGATTTTTGGATAGTAAAATCTACAGTTCTGTACTACTTTCCAACATAAAAACAAACATATTGTTACATTTAAATTTAAACCTGAAGTTAACTAATGTCTAAAGTTAAAAAATTAAATAATCATAATAATATTTATATGCTAGTATATTATGAAAGTTATGTTGTTAACATTTAGTCTAATTATATTGACTATAAGTCCACCTATAAAGTACTTAATGTTGAGCACACTGTATATGAATGAATAATCTAGAGTATTTCTTATGTTTAAAAAATGATTGAATTATATTGTTACCACTAACAAATATATTAATTTATTTGTAATTTTAGATGGAATGATATTAAATTTAATTTAAAAAAGTCTTTTAAAATAGTAAGTGAAAAGCTATAAATGATTTATGATTATAAATTATAAATATTAACAGAATTGTAGTTATAAAACCACTGCCCATATCCTTAACACTTATTATGATGTTACTATAATGAGTAGCAGTATAATATTATAATTATTACTGTTTACTATTTATTTATTAATTATCATTATCCTATTATTTATTTGTATCTATGAAATTACCTATGGAAATTGTAGCCCATATTGTTACCATGTTAATTGATATTTTATCTCTCTTAATTTGTTATATATACTATAATAATATTATTACATCATAAAATTCTTAACATTTTTTCTTAAAATCTATAATCATAATAAATAATTATTTAATTTGTCACAAAAAAAAAAAAAAATGAGTTTTAATCACAAGTATATTTACTTGGATATTTTAAATCAATGGCCATCAATTTTATGTTTTGTTATATTTTATACACTGTTGTTATTTTTGATTGTTATGAACATTTTTAGGGGCAAATTATGTGAAAGAATATTGTTTATTCTAAATACGAGCTTTTGAATGTATTTGTACATTTTTTTTTTTATATCTAGTAGGGAATAGTAATAACAAATAATATAAATAAACGTCTTCTATATCCTCGTAATAATTCTTAATTTAAAACATAAATAAATATAAAACGGCCAAGCTTACCTCACATTTTCACATTGATATAAAACCCCAAATAAAAGTATTTTATTTTATTCAGTTGTTCTTTAGGTTATATAAAATTGTGTTATGTGACAATTATACTATAATCTTAAGCCGCTGTTTCTATACATACTGTTATTTATTTGTTCAATATAATAATATTAACTTTTATTTTTAAGATTTAGCTGATAATAAATTATTGGCTATAGTAGTAAATTTTTTAGCATCATGACAATACGTTAATTGTTGGAAACTAATACTACTTTTCTGCATTCCATTTGTTGATAAATGTGTATCAAATCTAACAATAAAGATCATTGATATTATTAATAATATTTGATTTTTTTTTTAGTTGTAGTAATAGCCTGTTTCTAGAACTATTTAAATTTATTTGCTGAAAGGTAATATTAAATATAATCTATAATGAGTAATGAATGCATGAAAGATATTGCTCAATCTCGTACTGTAGCAAACATGTAATCTGAGACCTGAATTATGTATAATTTAATTTAAGATTTCATAGTTTGAAAAATAGGTATTCATAGTTATTAAATGATAGTATTGTTTTTTATTTCTTTATGTTAGTAACTTCATATTTTAATGTACTCGGTACCTACTCATGTTTAATATAAAATTAAAATCCTTGTTTCCACTATATGTGTATATGCACTCATTACTGCAGTGTGTACACTAAAAAGTAAACACTCCGGGAACGTGCAGCGCTTCGTTTTTCAATTCCCATAGGGCAGTTCATTCAAATATTTCGTTTTGGTTCATGAAAATCGAATATTTTTTTGTTTATATTCAGGGTTTCTTCCGAATAAAGAAACTAAAGAGACTTTTGTAGATAATTCATTCCTATACATATAAATTAATTTATGTTTGTAACTTATATACATAAATTCGACAAAAAAGATTCCGTAGACAATCCTTCTTTTAAAAAAAATCTATTAAATCAGATCATTCTACGGAGTGAGTGAGATTTTCCCTAAAGATGTGTTTTAAACAAAAAATCACACTTTTAAGTTTTGATTGGCAGTGCCGTTGACATGGGTGTGACTGTATATAGCACGGTAGGTAGTAGGTACCCCAGAGAGCCTTGACATAAAAGCTCATCAAGGCTCCTACTGGTACTCGCATACAACCGCTCTGATATTAATAATTAGTAATAATTATTATCGTTTGTGCACAATTTACGCTAACTCCCACATACTAAGATATTACATATATTGCCTAATAACTAAATAATAAATATATACGAGCAGGGCCATTAAAAATAAAAATCGTGTAAACATTTCTATCTAGCGACTGAAGACGTGGTAGACATCACGAGTGTTCTTGTTTTTATATAAGGTCTATGGTTATGTTCTATCCGACAAAATGCCAGAATGCTCCAAAGTATGGTGCACACTAGCAAAGCCGGCCGAAGTTGATCGGCATGATTGAGTCTCGATCCTGTCGAACAAAGAGGAAGACGTACGGCAGGCGAAACGTAAACGGCTAAGGCCGAAGACCAACCTGTTGAACCTTACAGCAGGAGAGACCAGGACGAAGATCGTAACCGACACAGGTGTATATCGCAACCGCAAAAAGTCGATTGTGTCACCGACCACGAGTCCACGATTTTCACCTACCACCAAAGACACCGCGGCAGTTCACCCAGAACGCGAAGTCCAGGGCGGTGAACTTAGGTCGGCTCGCGAAGTGAAAGTAGAACAATAAACCCAATTTGCATAATATATTGTTAGATTGTCCCTGCCTTCCCACACTAACAATGTTTTTTGTAATTTTGATTATTATTTTTTCAATAAACGATGGCGACGCCATGGAAGTAATGCAAAAGCAGTTCCCGCGGCGTCATCGATTTAAACAGAACAAAAAAAAAAAAAAAGGTTTATGTTATACACACAAGTACACAACACTATATGAGTATATAACAATGTTTCACGTCCTCGTTAAAAAAATCAAAATGACATAGGTAGATAGCGTTACAGCAATTATCATCGTCTAGACCAGCGATTCTCAAACTGTGGTACGCGAAAGACTACATGATGGTACGCGGAACTGCGGAAGGCCGCATGGTGGTAGGATTTTTAATCTTCAGTGGTACGCGACTGATTGATAATATACTTAAGTGGTACGCGAAATAAAAAGTTTGAGAACCGCTGGTCTAGACCCGTTAATTGAGTGCCATACGAAGTCTTTCATCACTATCAGTACAGAAACGCATACGGCTATTATAAATACCGGCAAACGGACATTTCATCCCCGTCAAAAAAAAACAGTCAACCGACGTTTCGTTCCGTATAATTATTACTTTATTAGCCATTGAACCTTTGGACGTTTGGTCCCCGGTATACTTTGATAATAGGTCATTGAGTTCTCACTTCTCAGGTTTTTTTAAATAATTTTTATTTATTAATTTCTTCAAAGTTCATTATTTTACTAGCAATACATTTATTTTTAATTAACAATTCTGTAATGTCTAATATAGTACCTATATAGGCTTTATATAGGTAAGTAATAAAAACATTTTATACCATTTAAAAACATAAATCAGTTGACTTAAAATAAATATACAATTTGTCTTAATATAATTGTGATTTATTTAAATCTTGGACTATTTGATTATATTGTATGAATATTGATTATGTATTTGTATATTTTGTAGTATTGTTATTTAAACATTAAATATAATTATTTAGATTATCAATGTATATTGTATACCGGGGACCAAAGTCCTATGGTTAATAACTTTCCTAGACGAAACGTCCTATCTTAATTATTGTCAGGGACGAAATGTCCGTGGACCGGTTTTTTGACGGGAGCGAAACATCCGCGATTAGGCTATACCAGTGTCATAAAAGTGCAAGATGAAGTAGTGTAAAGATCTGTATAACACTGAATTCCATAATATCATATTTATTTAATATAATATTAACTTGAACAATTTATTTTCATAAATTTTTAATTGACGTCGGAAAAATTTCAAAAATTTTAATTTACATACTTACCAAACTTGCCCACATTGGTACTAATAAGTGACGTACCTACTGAAGAATTTGAGAGCTCGTACAACTGATAAAAGTATTACTGCATCTATCGCTTTTTTATATGTAAAGAAATGTTCTCGCTACTCTCAACAAGTAACAACATTTTTATTCACACAAAACACAAGAATTAATTAATTATTTATTGTAATATACATAATAAGATTTCATATGATATCAGTTATTTATACCCAACCTCCTCCAGAGCATATGCAGTTGTTTTAAATATCTACTTAGTAACCCACCTAGGCGTCATCGGTTTTAATATTCTATTTTCTCTTCCTTATTTTGCATGAATCCATCTAAGTATCACACGACTGACAACTGTTGGTTTTAAAAGTTCGCGACTTTGCAGTAGGTATCTATTTAATATATCATATTTGTATGCTTAGATAAGCACCCTAAATATATTACTTTTTACGAATTGTATCTATTCTACATCAGTGTACTTGATTTGAATCAACAAAATAACTTTTCGAGTTAAATACAAGTATGTTATATTCAATTTTGTTAAGATTTAAGCTTTAAGTCATATTCATTGATTATTATAGATAGTTTTAGTTAATACAAGTAGGTAAACTTACTATTCGTCTATAATTTTAATACTATTAGTTTTCATTTAAATCATCAACATATTACAAATTTTGTAAAATGAATAAAGAAAATATATGAATAATCAGTACAGGCGGAATTTGGAGGGCTTGGGCGGTAATTTACATTCTCATAATTTATACCATTTGCGAAACTTGTCAAAA